ATTTGTTTTTTTTTCTTTAAAGAAAAAACTTCATAAAATTAAAAAAGAGCCTTTTTTTATGAGCCTAAACTTTTTTTTTTTCAAAATAGTGATGAAACATTAACTTTATTTAAAAAAAAATAGACAATTGTTTTAATTTTTGCCAGTAAAACTCCACAGTACAGTTGGTTTCATGTAATCAACTTTAACTTAAAATTTTAAACAACCACAATAAAAACAGCTGTACGCCACAGTGGAACAAAGTGGTGAGCATTTCTTTTGTAGAAACCTTTAGCTATGTCATTCGTATTCCGCTGATGCCATGTTATCATGGTCTGTTGGCTTAATACTTCATTCTCCGCTGATGCTTATTTTCCTGCTTGCGGTAGATATGTTTCCCTTGTCAATGTAGGATGGTTGAGCATTTTTAAATCACGTAAAGCTTCTTGATGTCAGCTGTCAGAAACAACAAAGTGCTCTCTGTTTATCTCTGTGTATGCTGTAACTGCTACAGAAAGGAGGCTGCCCTCATATCTATCTCCTCTTTATCTCTTTTTTGCCTCTAAAAGGGTTAAAAAAATCTAGATCCTTGGACAGAAACAAACAAAACACATGCCAGCATCATTTTCCCTTAATCAGATCTGCAAAAAACTTAAAAAATGACTACATTTCAATAATGAAACCAAAAGTTATGCCACTAACTCATACTGTTGGTTGAAAATGAAGATATTTTAGAACTTTTTAAATATTTTGTATTTAAGTTGACAACTTCACCTCTCATTGCTGAGCTGGTTTTGTTTTTCTCTCTTTTAAATGCTTAGCAAGTTATTAACTGCAACCCTTGGTCAGATCTGTCCATTTGGGTGCTACCAATCGGGTATCTGTCATGTCTGTGTGTGAAATATGAAAAAAAATCCAGATGAAATCCATCCGTTCAACTAAATCTTTTATTTTTGATGTGTGCAAATGGACCATGCATATCTTGAGCACAATCAATTCTGGTGTCATTCGAATGACAGTGAGCTTTTGCATGAAGGAGAATTATCAGAGCCATGACTTGCACAAAAGTACAAACAGCACAAAGGGAACACATATCATTTCTGTTTTCTTGAGAAATCTGCCAAAATGAATAATAAAAAAAAAAACAGAGGCATGCACAAACATGCATGCATGTGCATTTTTCTTTCTAAGCATTTAATGCCCAAGAGAAGGGGGGGCTGCGGCACAGTCACACAGCACTGCAGCCAATCAGCTAATTGGGGCCATGGGAATGGTTGAGGGGATGTGATCTGTGGCTCCTGTCATGACTCTGGTCACAGGATACACAGGAGTGACATTGACAGGCGCACAGTAAGCGCTTGTTCCTCTGTTTTTGAGCTGGGGATTGAGAGGAAATGAGTAGAAGACGTCAATTACCAAAGTACAAATGAAGAGAGACAAGTTGTCGGTGATGCATGCTCACTGGAAGCCCATCAGATAGAGCAGGAATGTAAACCGGCAGATGAGTCGACGTGAAGTTCATCACACACATTTTGTGTGAGTTTCTAGAGGAAGCAGAGAATGTGGTCATTTCCAGACTTATGGTCATGGGATAGATGATGGGATCTCCCTCCTGTCGGTCAGACAGGCAGGCAGCATTTGAGACCAGGAGAAAATTCTCTGTGTAAACACGAAAGTGGGGCACATTTCTAACCTTTCCACCTCCAGAATTAGCTGCCTGCTACCCTCGGGCTGCGTCTCATGGGGCTCATTATTACAGATGACATTTTTAATTCTGAGACAGGATGCGCTGATCATAGGGCTTTAACTGTTATTTATTCCTAATCCAGTTCCTTAGAACCATCAGTGCCAAACTACATAAAGTGAAAAAGTCCCTATTTATTCCATCTTAAAAGCAGGATGGTCTAATTTGAACTTTTAGCAATTAAATGTGATTTATCCCTATTCAGTTTGTTTAAAAAAAATTTTTTTTATCTCTCAAAACATAGTTTGAACTTCGGCGTGGCTCTGAAAGCGTTCATTACTGCTTTTATTATAGTGAATTTGTTTGTTTTGTATAAAAACAGTAGAAGGCTTGTTGTTTTAGCTTCAACACAGTAGTGCTCGTCATTGGCCAATGTGAGCCATCATGAGTTATTATGTTCAAGATGTCGGTGAGTGCACATGACAAACCCGAGGAGAGACTAAACATGGTTCCTAACAAAGGCACCGCTTGTGGTGTTTATTCAATATTCTCTAGTTTTAATCTCCTTACTACAGTTTGGCCCTAATAAGGAAAATCAAAGACCTGAAATTATATTTGGGTTTCTCATCAGAACAGACTTCCTTGTAGACAAAATGTTATATGCATCATATTTTGCATACTGTTGATAAATAAGGGCAAACAAGAGGTCTCAGACACACATAACTCACCATAACTACCAGAGTTAAAACAATGGTAAAATTTCATAAGTTTTTTTTTTTTCTGCGAGGGCTGAAATAATTATTCAGATTAATCATGATTAAACGATTATTGAAATAATCGTCAACTAATTTAGTAATTGATTGATCGATTAACTGGACTGTAGAGGCTCTGAAATGTGCCTTTAGCTGACAGAGCGACCCACCTTGAGCAGCAATTATACCAAAATTGTTATGAAATAGTTTGGGTTTAAGATAAAAATCCTTTTCGTCTGTCGATGTGCTCTATCAGAACTACTCAACTATTTTCAATTGGTTTAAAATCACAACAGCTCTTCTTTAAGGAACCTTCTGATATCCGATTATTAATCCATTGATAGAAAAAAATAATCAACAGATTGATCGACTTGCAAAATAATTGGTGGTTCCCACTTTTTTCCTCACATGGACTTACAAACTCATAAGACTGACAACAAAAAAACAAACTTGAGAGGGTGTTATTTTTACTAAATGAATCTGAGGTAAATACTTCCACTCTTACTTATTTAAAGCAAGCTGGACAAAGCGGCATATTGGAGTTATAACTGCACCGTTATATCGGCAGCAAAAAGACAAATATGTACGATTGATAAAGCAACATGCTGCAGGTTAGATTCCCTTCATTTCATTTTAGTTTAAATTCAATGTGGAAAATTAAGATTTACATTATGAGACAACAGAGCCCCATATTTACCAAATTATTAGAATTCCAATTAGATCCATATATAATTAAAACATTTTGCTCTATTTCAATCAACTTTATGATTATATAGATCACTAAAAAAAAAAATACTTGAAGAAACGTTATCTATGGAAGCCCAACTGGTCATATCAAATCTTCACCTAGAAAAACTCCCTTATTCTGAGTAACAGTGACAAGAAACAAGGTGATAACACCTATATCTGTAGTTCTAGACAGTAAATTGACAGCTAAACTCAGAGGCTCTATAGCTCTATAAAGCAAAAACAAAGCAAAGGTTGTGCACAGAGTTAATGCCAAAAAAACTGTTAAACAGAAGCAAGGAAGTAAAAAAAAAAAACAATAGATTACATTAAGTCAATGACAGCTTGAATTCTGAGAGGGTTTACCGTAGCAGGAGATGCAGCTAAACGTAAAAGCACAGCAGCAAGGGTACTTAATGTGGGAAATTTAAAAAAGACCAGGGTTAATAGCAGCTGTTGCCTTGGTAATGGTGTCGCACTGGAAAGTAACGCAGCTAAAAACATCATAATGAAGCAGGAGTACTTTCCATAGGTAAGAACAACACAGAATACATAAAGTTGATGGCTGCAATAGTGCCACCTATGGTTTCTAATAAACTTTATTTTATATAGAAGGACTTAAAAGCAACAACAATTTGAATAATACATTAATGAAAAATGGCAGCTTAAAATAGCTGTAAGAAGTGAGTCCTCCTTCAAATTTGATATTTATATTTTTAAATAAATGTTTTCCCAATATAAATTTAAAAAATCATCTTAGAATGATAACTATAAAAATAATGTAGGAAAGGAAGACATTAATCTTTAAAAAACTGTAAAAAGAAATCCCCAAGGTTGGAGAAATCAGAGCAGTGGGGTTTAATAAGGACTGTTATACGCCTCACAAACAATGTGGTCTTAACTGACATAATAGGGCTATTGAGTTACTATTATGCAATGAAGAATGAAAACAAATTCCTCCTTCAACAAACTGGCCAGCACAAAAAGCCTGCAGGGACTGAATTGTTTTAACGGAGTCTTCATACTGTGCTGTTTTTTTCTGCCTGCCGAGGATATTTGTGTTTTTACGGCTTCCTGAAGGAAACTGTGGGCTGAGTTTATTCTCTCTGCGCGTGTCAGAAGGCGACAGAGTGAACAAGAAGGCATGTGAGCAGGTTTATCACCATGCAACTTGTTGGGCTACCCAACTCTGTATTGAACTCCCTGGATGTATGTGTTTGTCAAATTCAAGAAGAAAATCTTTTTTCAAGTTTTCCTGGATGATTTTTAATGCCTTCGCGTCCCAGAGGATTTGGAATTTTATTTCCAGATTTCGGACTCAACAGCTTCATTCATTGTTGGCACAAAAGCGTTTTCCCGTTGTTTTTTTCCCCCTCCCTTCTGGTATTTCCTGCTTTTATGTGTTTTTCTGATCCTGTCCTTGAATCCGGATGAGTGCGCTGCGCTGGCACCGGCTCTCTGCGCTCTGGAAGAACTGGATGTTCAACCAGGAGCCAGAGGAAGAGCAGGTTCAGATTCCAGAAGCTCCAGGACATGAGGAGGGGCCCCGCAAAGAAGAAGGCAGCAAATTCCAGGATTCCAGCCCAGATTGTGAGAGTCTTATCGGAGTTATCACCCAGAACTCGAATTACGAGGAGCAGGAATCAGAATCACACGTACCAAATCTGGATTTTCTAAATCTGAATGTTGGTCATAAGGTCCCAAAGTCTGAACTGCTGAAACGTAGCTGCTCCGAACCGTGCCCTCAGGTCTCGAACCACACGGGTCGGGCTGAGAGCTGTCGCTACATGCCTGAGGATTGTGAACCCAGATCTCACAGAACCTTCTATTCTGAGGAGAGTGTTGACTGTGCGTTACAGGTGGATAACGGCACCGAGGGGGACGATAGCTTCCTGCAGAGAGACGGGTCCCAACGGCGGTCAAGGCGGCGCTTTAGGAGGGTAAACCCTAAAGGAGAGCGGGAACTTATCACTGATGGCCAAGAACCCGCCAGCTACAGCAACACGGTAAGAGGATTTTATCGTTTTTTCTGTTTAGCAAAAGCTTTTAGAACTCCTGCAAGATTTAAAGATCTTTAAAGGTCTGGTTTGTTACATCCGGAATAGTCTGAGGCATGGTAGATAAATGCTCTAGAACGAGTCCTCAGCCTCTACCGCGCTATTTTAAATCTTCATGTTTGGAGTTGGTGCTTATGGACAGGTTTCCCATAAATATACTTATTTTAAAACATATCAGATTGTTGTCAACAACTAAAGCTGAACTGAACGACTACATAGCTCGCTTATAAAGTGTCACCATTAGCTTGTGACCGAAGTTTCTCTTCACAAACCAGATTCAGATGTTTCTCTCCTTGGCAGTTAACGTTGTATCTCACTTTATGCATTAAAACTGTGTGCGACATGTCCCTCATGTGAGCTTCAGTGAGTTCCCCTCCCTCTGATAGGATCACTGGGTTCAGCATTGTGTCAGTTACAGTTCCAGCTAATCATCTGGAGCCACGCTTTGCCACAAACAGACACACAAGCAGCTGCAGACTGCAACGCTTTGTTACCGCACACACACGTTTTCCCAGCTCCCGTCGAGCTCCCTCGGGGCGTTACAGAGGGGCTTAATGGAGAGCTTAAGAGTGTTCTCTGTCGACCCTGCCTGCCTCTAAAGTCTCCTGGAGATTGTTCTACTTTTTAAAATTACATGTCAAGCCCTCGGAGATGCTAGCATGCCACCACATTCGTCTTTACAAAGTACCCCTTGAACTTTTTTCTCCTTTTGATGGGTTGAAACAAGACACTTAATGAGATTTTATATTATGAACAAAAATGTGAAATAGGTAATTGGTAGGTAAATACTGAAACTTGATCTTGACGTTTGTGTTCTTGCTGCATTTAATTTTAAGACCTTTATGATGCATCAACCAGCTTTGCATATATGACATACATTTTCAAGGATTGCTTGTGCTGATTGCTTCTTATTTTCGACTTTACTTTGACTCGGCCAGAAGTAAAGGTTTTCCTTCTAATTTAGGGTGTTAAAATCCAGCCTTTAAGGACCAATATCCTGCTACGTCTAGATATGACCCCCTTCAACACATCTAATTCAAATACTTGAAATCTTCCCTTAATCACTCAGGTTTAAGTGGCTTCCCTGTCCCTGCTGAAGGCAAGCAACCCCACAGCATGATACTGCCACCACCATGGCAGTATCACCTGGATGATTGGGTTGGGTCTGTGTTTTTGTCTGAATCGCTTTCTTTCGTCCTCATGGTTGCTATATCCCAGACTCACCCACCTGCTAACAGGTCTTCTGGTTTTCTTTCAGATATTGCTTTTCAGACTACCTTTTGATTTGGGAGGATTTAAGTTGAGGTTATATAGTCTGAAGGGGCTGAATACAAGGTTTTAAAACCCATCCCCATGTATGCTTTTACCCTCCTGACAATTCTGTACTGCTTTGTGCTTCTCGATCACATCATATGATAAGCAGTGTGATATAATTACTCAGTGTGAATGCTCCTAGTGTTTTATTTTCATCTGTTAAAAAATGTTATTGTATTATCTTTTAGAATGTGTTTGACTAGCATATCTCTTTTGATCTGTGCTGCAGACTTTCTGCCCAGGTCCCCCTTGCAAATGAGATCTTGATTTCAATGGTGTTTTCATCTGGAAATGTAAAGAAAAATCCCATTAAAGGTCTTTGTAAATGTGATGCAATGTAGAAAAGTCAAAGCGGTTTGAGTACTTGTGTGAAACAAAAAAGTAAGTCTTTTAACCCTAATTATAAGGAACTGCAAATAAGCAAGCCAACACAAAAAAAATCTAATAAAGGTAAATTTACTCAAAAAACAAAAAAACAATTCTTTAGGATTTAATTCCAGATGTCAAAACTTGTGCCAAACATGACATGAGCAAGGCTCTTTAAATAACGGGCATTATTGTTCGATATATGGGCCATTTACCCCTCCTTTTAAGCTAATCTGGTTGCTCTTCTCCTTTCACATGTTTTCTGTAGTGTTCTACCTCAGGATTATGCCAACAACAAGGGAGCAATACAACATTATTGTGGGTGTTTATCTTTTGGTGTATTTGGCCGTTTCTGTTGATGCGTCTCCAGATGCCTGTGTAGATCGTTCCCACTTCATTCAGACACCTGTTGTTTAGAAACAGGCCGCATTGTAGAAAGCGGGTCATGTTGATGTTGCCACACACATGCGCACATCTCTGTCTGCTGACACTGTGGGTGGCTGATAGAAATGTGGCAAACAGAAGGACAACTAGGTGCATCTTGGGAACTACATAATGCTGATTTACACAAGTATTTGGGGAAACATCACAGGACAGAGGCGAGTTTGCGAGGCTCTTTGTGGACGTTTTTTTTTTTTATTTTTTTTTTTATTAATTATTGTTTTAAGTAAACAGTTGGACCTGCAGACTTTGAGCTATTATTATTCCAAATCAGAAAATTAGAGATTTGTAAAACAGATGCATTGAGCTGACAAATAATTGATCTAAACACGATGAGGAGAATGAGAATCCATGGTGCCAAAAAGGACAAAAGATACGTTTTTTTTTCATATGTGATGTGGAGTGAATGATGGGAGGTTGATTGATGAGAGGGAGATCCCTTAAAGCTAAAGAGTTGGTTAACAAACACATTCTGAGAACTTTTTTTTTTCAGATTAGCATCTAAGGCTGTTTTAGATTAGTTTAAAATCAGATCTGGTTTGTTGGCTGATTTGGATGAAATTAAAATAATTTTTTATGATGAAGTTGATAATATAATGAAATAATTTTCTTTTAGAAATGGAGGAAGACTCTGATTTATATAAGTATTTTCAGACTGTTTCTTTGCAAAAGTCATTTCGTGATTTGATGATGATTTATCCTTTGAATAATGGAGCAATTAGCTGACCTATCTATTATGCGTAACTGTTGAAAATACGATGAACTGACTTAGAAGGAAGACAGCCTTGTTGAAGTTCAAACTCTTTGTACATCCAAACTGTCCTGTTTTTCTCAAAGGAACTTAAAAGCTTCCTCATTTCTAACCGTATTAGAGGTGCTTTAAAAGGACACACCACACACCTGCCTTCATATGCTATACAGAAGTGTAACTGTTGCTACAGATCAAGGATGTTCAATCAGGGAGGCCTGATTGAACCATAATAACATCAGCAATCCATTATCACTATTTTGCACTGTCTGGTGACTTTTGGTCTCTAAATGTATGATCTGGAGTGAATAGAGTCTCTAAATGTATGAATTGAGAAGAACACCACTTAAACCAATATATCATCACCAAGAACTTTGTGATATAATAAAAAATATAGAAGTAGAGCAAAATGTGATTTTTGCACAGAGTTGCGGACATTGTTCCTCTTTCACTGAGGCAGGCGATTCTGCACATTCCCCCCCCTGCAGTACACTGGGATTCAATAATGACTCAGCCTCAGACTACACACTCATATGTATGTTGGAAATAAGCAGATGGACAAAGAGAGCCACTTTATTTCGACATCAAAAGCCTCATTGGATTATTGTCTTTTCTATCTTACAGAAGATGGATAAATGAAGCCATCAGCTCATTTGCCTTGCAGGGGAAGCCCGCTCAGAGGGCTTTTTACAGCCAGGCTGCTCCCCGGCTCTTCTGGGTCATTAATTCAGGACAGGTTCAACCATCTGCGCAGAGGGGTTCAGCAAAACCTTAAATCGTTTCGCAGTGGTTTACTTTTTGCTGAATTTATTATATAGATTCTTTTTTTTTTTTACGTTTTTAGTTCTGAAACACAATTTGCCTTCTGAGTAAGTCAGACGTGAGACACGAATATCTTATTTTAGCTTTTGTTTTCTGGTTGCTTAGTTTCTGTCTTGAACGTGCCTTGTGGACTGTGAAGCAGTTTCCTACGTGATCTGTAGGAAGCGACTGTCTTTAACGTTCAGCGGAAGACACAGACTTCTAACGCAACATTTGTGGTTTGCTACCTTCCTGTGTCAGAGGCCAACATTTCTGACGTTTTCTGTTATTTTCCTTTCAGAAAACATTTAAATTGTCATAGTAGGTAGTCTGGCACATGCTACTCAGGGTTAGTAGTAAAAAACCCACACGATCAATCAGGATTGATTACACCTTTGAGGTGACAGATGCTGAGTGTGCAAATCTTTATTGGTGATCTTTTAAGACGTTGATTGGGTCACAAACTTAAACCAGTGCATTAAATCAAGGCTACTTTATTTTTTGAATCTGAATGTTTTCGTCAGTTGACTTGGTATCTGAAATTTTTTTAAAAACAACAGGAATTCCTTTTGGTCTGATAACAGGGATCTTTTTTTTTTGTGCTATAAACAATCCCTTGCATGTTCTTTCATTCAGTGTTTACCATGCTGTTTTTTTTTTCAAAGTTATTATCTCTTATAGCTACAGCTAATTTTGCAATCACACCCCTTTCCTGAATCTTATAAGACCTAAAATTAAGCAGTTTTTCATTTAAACCTAATTTCTTTATAGTGAAGTCAGAAATAGTAGGATGTTAACTAGTATCCCGTGATCCCATCAAGCAATGCTCAGCCCATCACCCTAAAAATGGAAAGAGCATAACTTAACAAGATGTGCTTCTGTCTTTGCAAGAAGATAGGGAGTGTGAAAGTAAGATGTGAAATCCTGTTTTGACTTTGCCTCAAGTCATTTAAGGGACATTTCAACACGTCAAAGTTGACCTGATGAGAACAGACAACAAAATTCAAAGTTTTGGCCTACATAGAGTTGATTGGTTGGAGGGTGGAGCTTAAAGCAAAAGACACAGTTAGAAGGACTGTAACAGAAGGATGTTGACTGGAGTGTAGATTCCGATTTTAGTCTGACGGGCATCATTAACATTCAATCAGAGCTGCAGTTAAATTGTTTAGATCAAAGAATATTCCCCTCTTAGAATGGCCTAGTCAAAGCCCAGATCTTAAGCTAGTCCCTGAGTGCCTAGAATTGGTTGTACCTACCCTAAAAGCCTTGCATATGATGA